GTGGACGAATCTCCCGCTGCGGCTAATTTGTTTAATTGTCCAAATCTTTCTTCCTAGCAGACAGCAGTGAAATCCCATCAGAGGTTCTAATCATTTCCCGTTCTGTCTAAGACAAAAGATCTAAATAGAATTCTAAATATCTACTTTAATGAGAAGCAGCATCAAGCGGAATAAGTCACCGATTAGTTTGTGTCTTGACTTGAGTTTCCTCTTAGAGTATCACGGTGTGGAACACCATATTGAATGATCACTATTTCTATACATTCTTTGGCCATTCCTCTGGAGTAATGTCAGTGAAAGGGATCCTTTCTTTCCATTCATGGCTCTATTCAATATGCTCAGCAGTCTTTAATGTCTTATAAGTGTGCATTTCACTTGTAAATGATAGGCTGCTCTGTTCTTTACCAGAAGACATATGGCTTGCACACATGACCACATTTATCTGAAATAACTATGCATGTGGTCTGACAGATCAAATATACTTATTCACAATGCTAATACATTTGTATATATAGTGTTTGGCTGAAATATAGGGTTTCATATGGTAAGTGCCTAAAAGAAACTACTAGACGTTGTGTTGGTGAGCTCTTAAAGTGGACCTTTACCCATAGCTTTAAAATAACAACAAACACACCTTTTAGAAATGTTTAGTAACAACAATCTACAAACACAAACTTCTAGATAGATCTTGAATTTCTGGCACATGTGACTAGACATGTGACCATGCACATCATCTCAGGGGAGGACAATGCCTTTCCCTGAGATCTTGTGAGATTACAGATGAGGTTTCCCAGCAATGCTCTGCTGATGACAAGGCAATCCCAGTGTGCATTGTGAAGTCATTTTGCCCTTTCAAAGCAGGAAGTGAATGCTCTGCAAGTGTAAGAATTTCACAATCACAGCATGTCATGTCTATGTTATTATTAATCATCATTCATGGAGGGATGCATTGTTAGAATTTGATTTGTGAGTGTAAAGATCCGCTTTAATAAAGATCAGGGGGCTCAAGTATGTTGAATAAAAGGATATATCTGTGAACGGGATGGATGTTCAACCAGTGCTGGTTGTATGGATCAAGTTATAAGAGAAATATGGGCGCTGCATTTACTGACCACCTCCATATGCTAGTTTCCTGGTTGTTATGCTGAACCCCGGGTGTCAGTGTTTTGAGTCCCTCACCCAGGTAAGTGTATTGGTCAGAAAAGTCAGTAGTCTCTACCTGCATTCGTGTTCAGGGTCAGTGACACAAAGTATTGAAGCAAGATGGTGAGCTTGCCAGCCAGGCAATCAGCAATTTCAAAAGGAGAGATCAGCAGTGGCAGACTCCATGTTTCCCTTCTATCAGGTTTACTGTATGGTCTCCAGCTATCAGCAGGCTAGCCATCTTTTTACTGCCCAATTTTTATTAACCGAGCGGTGTCACAGGTACCTAGACAGCAGCGGTGAGGGGAATTCTCTACTGGCCGTCGCACTAATTGGCTGCTGCAAAGCGCATTCTGCAATGCCATTTATTATTTTTTCCTCCATACCACAACACACCCCAATACACGTGGGGCACTGCTTTGGATGTGAAGAAGGTGCACGTCTGCTTTCGGCTGCTCATTGTAACCCAGGTGAAGGCATGACACAAGTCACGTTAATGAGTGTTTCCTCACAGACTGCAGCACAGTGCAAAGATATCAATGAGTCCTCGCGTTATTGCTAGACACAGGTCACATTCAAGATAACCTTGAGCAAATAAAATGTATGTGCACAGAAAGCCTTTAAATCCAATTAATATGAATTGGCTTATACCATATGATGTATTGTGAGAGGTGCAGTAGCTGAGCTACTCCACTGTGAGAGAGAGAGAGGATAGTCTGAATCGCTCAGGTTCATGTTGCTTCCATTATTGCCTTGCAAAGCTGGCAATACACTGTACGATTTCCTCTTCGAGGAATTTCCTCTGCTGGTCTATTGCAGACACTGTTCAGCTGACAATTTTGTGCCCAACTCCTTCTAGAAAAGACCATTGAAAAATCGAGAGTTGTCATCAGAAGAGGGAGAACCTTTGCATTTCATTTTTTATCACGTAAGATCTGTATGTGGTGCTGCATTTTTTTTATAGTATTGCTGTAACTGTTTCCATTGCTGTGTGACACTTCTTTCAAATTTGTGTTTTTTTTTTTCCTCTTAGTAAATCTGTAAAGTATTTCCTGTTTAACTGGACCTGAAGTGTTCTCGTTCTACAGTATTCTGGAATTTCATTCTAGGGCTTGGTGTTTTTATTGTAGAAGCAGAGCAAGCTATAAGGGCGGCCATAAGTTACATATTCTTACCCAGTATGTATGGATCATACTAGTCTGGAAGTCGGCAATGTCAGAGGTGTGTCACCACTCATGTACCTGGATAATCATTCTTCTTTTTATTGAACTCTTGTTCACCACGTGCACGCTGCATCTGTCAGCCAGGTTGCAAAGGTAACTGCTGAAGGCCCAGGAGCTCTGGTCTTTGGGCAGATGACAACCTTCCCATCCTTCTTGTGGACCTTTTCTACAGCTGGCCTAATAATAGTAAATACAAAAAAACAATAACTGGTATTTTGACCAGAGTCCGCTAAATCTCATCTAGTCGATGCCCCTCAGTATACCGCGAGCTACTGCTCGCGGTATACTGAGACGCTGAAGCAGATCCCGACAATTATGCCGGGATCCGCCCAGCTGTGTGAGTGACAGCTGGCTCTGCCTATCTAGAGGCAGAGCCAGCTGTACCCGCCCCCTCCCCGTCCGTTCCGCCAGTCAGCACTGGCGGATCGGAGCGGAGAGGGGTGAATCCAGCCCCTTTTGGTGCCAATTATTCACTTTTGGTGCCAATTTTAGACTTAAAAAAAAAAGAAAGACGAAAATAAATGCAATAACCCATAAATGCTGAAAAATTGAAATTACATTTCCCCCCACAATGCTGAAGAATATAAGGCTTATATTTTCTAGGGGATAAGATTAGACAGAGTATTGCTTATCTTAAAGCAGACCTTGCAAATGAATGGTCATTAGATCAGGACCCCCGCTACCTTCGGGGTCCCCATTGTAGCAGTAGTTACATACAGTATCTCACAGTACACCCCTCACATTTTTGTAAATATTTTATTATATCATTTCATGTGACGACACTGAAGAAATTACACTTTGCTACAATGTAAAGTAGTGAGTGTACAGCTTGTATATCAGTGTACATTTGCTGTCCCCTCAAAATAACTCAACACACAGCCATTAATGTCTAAACCACTGGCAACAAAAGTGAGTACACCCCTAAGTGAAAATGTCCAAATTGGGCCTAAAGTGTCAATATTTTGTGTGGCCACCATTATTTTCCAGCACTGCCTTAACCCTCTTGGGCAAGGAGTTCACCAGAGCTTCACAGATTGCCACTGGAGTCCTCTTCCACTCCTCCATGACAACATCATGGAGCTGGTGGATGTTAGAGACCTTGCGCTCCTCCACCTTCCGTTTGAGGATGCCCCACAGATGCTCAATAGGTTTTAGGTCTGGAGACATGCTTGGCCAGTCCATCACCTTTACCCTCAGCTTCTTTAGCAAGGCAGTGGTCATCTTGGAAGTGTGTTTGTGGTCATTATGTTGGAATTCTGCCCTGTACCCCAGTCTCCGAAGGGAGGGGATCATGCTCTGCTTCAGTATGTCACAGTACGTGTTGGCATTCATGGTTCCCTCAATGAACTGTAGCTCCCCAGTGCCTGCAGCACTCATGCAGCCCCAGACATGACACTCCCACCACCATAAATGCTTGGCTGTAGGCAAGACACACTTGGCTTTCTACTCCTCACTTGGTTGCCACCACACACCCTTGATACCATCTGAACCAAATAAGTTTATCTTGGTCTCATCAGACCACAGGACATGGTTCCAGTAATCCATGTCCTTAGTCTGCTTATTTTCAGCAAAATGTTTGCAGGCTTTCTTGTGCATCATGTTTAGAAGAGGCTTCCTTCCGGGACGACATCCATGCAGACCAATTTGATGCAGTGTGCGGCGTATGGTCTGAGCACTGACAGGCTGACCCCCCACCCCTTTAACCTCTGCAGCAATGCTGGCAGCACTCGTACGTCTATTTCCCAAAGACAACCTCTGGATATGACGCTGAGCACGTGCACTCAACTTCTTTGGTCGACCACGGCGAGGCCTGTTCTGAGTGGAACCTTTCCTGTTATACCGCTGTATGGTCTAGGCCACCGTGCTGCAGCTCAGTTTCAGGGTCTCAGCAATCTTCTTATAGCCTAGGCCATTTTTATGTAGAGCAACAATTCTTTTTTTCAGATCCTCACAGAGTTCTTTGCCATGAGGTGCCATGTTGAACTTCCAGTGACCAGTATGAGAGAGTGAGAGCGATAACACCAAATTTAACACACCTGCTCCCCATTCCCCCCCTTGGGACCCTGTTACACTAACGAGTCACATGACACCAGGGAGGGAAATGACTAATAGGGTCCAATTTGGACATTTTCACTTAGGGGTGTACTCACTTTTGTTGCCAGCGGTTTTGACATTAATGGCTGTGTGAGTTATTTTGAGGGGACAGCAAATGTACACTGATATACAAGCTGTACACCCACTACTTTACATTGTAGCAAAGTGTTATTTCTTCTGTGTCGTCACATGAAATTATATAATAAAATATTTACAAAAATGTAAGGTGTGTACTCACTTCTGTGAGATACTGTATATCTATTAATTCCCTCCAGTGTTCTCTAGAATTGTTACTTTTGTATCTCTTGTTAATAAAATGTAAGATTTTAACCCTAAAGTTTCAATCACAAGTATTCCTATTACCCTGAAGTACAGTAATGGATTTATCTTATCTACACCAAACAAATCACTTCCACACAAGATGGTGCTGTAGATCGGGCATTGAATATAACTGTTTTAGGAAACTGCATGTTTTTTATTATTTTATATGAACACTTTGAATATGATAGTTTCTGACAACATATTTTCAATCTTTTCCAGGTTTATTGCTAAACCCTGTGCGTTTCAATTGGGCCTTCAAGGTAACGGGCCGCGTAGAGCACAACCGAATTCCATCCTAGAAAAAGTCTTTACTTCCATCACAAAGGTGAGTGTCTGTTTACAACTGAAGAACTGCTCTGTGTTGTCATTGGGAATATTTCTTGTGTATGTGATGTTAAACGCTGGGGTAATTGTGCTGATCCTGGTCATGTCTCATTTACAGCAGTACACGACGTGTAGTAGCACACAGCAGTGAGTGGAAATTGTGCCGCTTGTAATAAGAGTGATGTCACTTTTTTTTCAAAATGAGTATACACCACTGTATAGCTATATGTATTACATGGTCATCATCATTTTACAGAATTACATTATCGACAATGATATGCCAGGGCAAGTAGAACGTGTTATTGTATATTAAAGTGATATTAAAGCTTCATTATATTTTTGCTGTTTAAAATGCTGCTGTTGCTTACCAAGTATACTGCTCTTTAATGTTGTGAAGTTTGTTTCTTATGTAATCAGATAGTCCCCCAAGTGCTAGTCCCAACAACCGGATGTAGGGTGGCTCTCTTCCCTCGCAGGGCCCCGTGGAGCCACACTTTTGTGAGTGTTCCTATGATGGGACTATGGGGCAATATGCGCATGCTGCTTGCACTGACAGCCCGAGGGCACAGCCAATACAAAAGACCTGCCTCTGGCCATTCTCCATGGGAAATGATTGACAGCGGCTCCCGACGAGGCGTAGAGGTAGGTGTTCACCGAGTTGTCCCCTTGGGCTGCCTGTGCATGTCTGCGTAGGCGGGGTCATCAGATCAGTGACATTTGATAGTGGGTGCATGTGCTCTAGCACATCTGTTGGTTATGATGGAATCGGGGGGGGTATAGAGCCCACATTTACTGTATGTAGACTTGCCTAATTCTACCACACATTGGGTCTAGGCACACAAAGAAGGGGCTCATATGAGTTCTCACCTTGACCCTCTGCTAGTCAGACAAAATAAAAATGTTTTTATCTGTAAGAAAGTAGTGTATTCATTTTCTGATTAGGCCTTTGTTCTGTTCATTTTTGTATTGTTTTGCAGATTAGGAACCAGTACATATACCTACTTATGCATATGATACCTGAAGGCTGATATACATCCGTTAGTAAAGCATGTTGCAGGGATTGAATTGAATGTAATCTGGTGTATATCACTGATTTTGTTGCTTTAATATACATTTGTTTTTATTCCTCAATAAGTTGGTAAAGCATCTCAAACATATGAACACTAGTCTATCCCGTACTGTGTTTGATAGACCTGGAGGCACTACAGATCCAAGTAGAGAGACATGAGAGTTTCTCCCAACCTTTGTATAATTAGAGCGTTCTTTAGTTGTTAAACCATGCATAAACCAATGCTTGAGTCTTTTACATGGCAGAAATATAGCCGTCAAGATATAGTCCTTTCTCCCTTCTTAGTTAATCCCTGCATGTGAATTGAATTGTGTCACATGTCAGGGAGATAAAAAAAAATCATATGACCCAAGAACTCAGATAGCGTATCACTGTGTTGTGCACCTTGTACATTTAATATCATCTATAGTTGGCAACTCATATAAACAAATCACTTTTGCTCTGTGATGGTGCCATCCAGCACACATTCTAAATGTAAAAAATGTGTCAGTCATTTATGAACAGAACCTGAAAACTAGCTCAGTCATGAAGGGGTTAAAGCCTATCTTCAGGGGAAAAAAACTACCCTTGTAGTGGGGCTACTTCTGCACTACAAGGAGTAACTAATCATTTATGTCTAGGTGTAGTGTGTAAGGAATTTTTACTCCCCTGATCCCTGCTTCCCCAGTGCCCGGTACTCTCTTCTTCTTTGTGCTCCGGCTTGTGAACTGTCCCTTTACCACCTCATGTGTAATGGGTTCTGCATTGCGTGTGATGATGTAAGGCAGGGGTGTCAAACTCAATTTCATAACGGGCCGCATCAGCATTATGGTTGCCCTCAAAGGACCAGTTCTATCTGTAACAGTCCATGTGCCCATCGCACTTCTGACCATTGTTCCATGAAGATTAGGTGGGTGCAATGGTAGTCGACGGATGGCCACCGTCTCTGTGCATAAGTAAGAATATGGACACCGGCACTCCAATTGCAGATTAGATACGTCTATTTATTGATGTACATGCAGCATAGCATAACACACTCCGTGCAAACATGAGCTGCATGTACGTCAATTAATAGACAAATCTGATTTGCAATTGGAGTGCCTGGGTCCATATTGTTGTATCTGTAAGACTATATAAATGTATGTATGTAACCGTCGCAGCGCAGTGAAGGGCAGGTGCACACCGGCACGCAACCCACTCACACTCCTGTAGCGGATGATGCAAGTCTGGAAAGGAGGGTCGCACACTGCTGGTATCATCCACAAGAAACTTTATTGGAGACTGTTCAGACAGAACCATAACATTTCTTGTGGACGATACCAGCATTGTGCGACCCTTCTTTTAAACTGGCATTAAATTGTATTATTCTCATAATTAAAACCACATGTCCAGAGTACCCTACCCCCCTCTTACATTTGAAGTCGAGTCGCCCACCCTCCCTTACATTACAGTGCTCCCCCTTACCTTGTGCGGCTGCTGGGAGGAAGCTGTGTTCAGAGCTGGGAAGCTCTCTGCTGCTGAGACGAGGGGGGTGCCACCTTCCTCGGAGATGGGCTTTAAAGTTACCAATAGATATAATAAGGTTGAGAGAGTCTATCCAGTAAACGATTAGGTAGGTATGGAAATGGTCATTTGTCTATTCACCATGTCTGGGCTGATTGATCCTAGTAGAAATGTCAAGGGCAAGATGGCTTTTTCAGTCGGATTGTTACTCCTCTCAGAAATATGGAAAGCACAGGGTGTGGGAGGTAGACAGAGCTGCATTAAACATTAAGCCCCCATTCACATATGGGGGTATTGGGAACACACATTGTGGGCTTTTGTTTGCCACGTTCAGCACATGTCCCCATTGATTTCAGTGGGTGCCGAACGCACACCAAACATGAGCTGGAAGGTCTGAATTAATTATCGCCTAGGTGTCAGGCTATGTGCTATAGACATGTTATACAGATCCATCATGAGTTTTGTTTAGTTAGTGTCACAGGAAAAGACACACCGAGAATATTGGAACAAAGCAGAACAGGTTAAGATGAAACCTTAATGGTTTTTAGCTTTTGGTTTTCTTTGCATCAGTTTGTGGAAATCAACTACAAGTGTGACTGATATCTATCATATAATGTCATTTTTCTGATTTTATACATACTGCCAATATTTGTCCTTACTTGGCAGTCAGTTTATACCATTCTGTTTTCTTAGCCAACACACTGGTCTAAGCTGTGATGTCGGTCAGCGTTGCATAGTGAGCAGGTTTGCACATACATGTTTGTGAGGACATCAGGGATTTTATCTGCCTTCTCTTATTAAATTTATTATTATTCAGAATATATTTAGCGCCAACAGTTTGCACAGAGCTTTGGAGAATATGGGGAGCCAGAACAATTACATACATTATACTGTGCGTGTGTGTGTATACACACACACACACACACACACACACACACACACACACACACACACAGACACAGAAGAATGACCCTGCTTGTGGAGGAAAGGGCAACGCAGGAATCCGGCCTGGATGCGCTCAGGTGCGTTCCAGCAGCCAATGTTGCTGCAATACACCATAGCTCATGTTATCCGGCCCTCAAGACTAGGTTGTAGATGTAGTATTAGTATTTTTACAAGGGGCTATTGGAAGCCAGTGGAGGGATTGGCAGAGAGGACTGAGATACACTGAGTGGTTGCTGAGGTGCTTACTAGCTAATTAAAAGATACATGTAGTTTGTTTTTAAAAATCTAGATTTAGGCCTCATTCACACTGCCGCGCATAAGTGTGTATTGCACCATATGCAGCATCTGCAAATAAATGGCTCCATACACATAGCTGCGTATGGAGCCGTATATTTGTGTAGCGTAAAAATGCGCAAAAACAGAATGGAACCGAGATGCGTCCGAGCAGTGTATTTATGCGTATTTTCTGTGCATACACGCGTATACACACATGCGTGCGTACAGTTCACTAAAATTTCTATTACAAATGATGCATTCTGGAATTGCATAAAGTGCATGCATATGCGCACATACGCGCATACATGCGTATATACGCAATATACAATTTTGCCCTTGCGTTGCGTGTGAATGAGGTCTTTGTGTTCAATTATTTTAGTAGCTTCACACTTTAAAAACTGTTTATTTTTTTTTATTTTTTTACATTAATCTGATGCTGGAAGGATTGGCAGAGAGGGGTTGTGGATACTGAGCAGTTGAGAGGTGGATGAGTCTAGCAGCAGCTCTTAAAAATACAAGATTGGAAAAAAGGTGAATATTTAAGTGATTCTTTTTTAAAGAACTCCAGAGACATGTTTTATTAATCCTTGCAGTGGGGCTACCCCCATAGTACAAGAGCTAACTGCTCGTTTTGGTTAAGGGCAGGTTCACACCTTTTTCTTGTCCAGATCTGGTCTGGAAAATGGTGTGAACCTGGCCGCATTCCAGACCAGACAAAATAGGACATGCAGTATTTGTCTGGTCTGGTCTGGAACGGACTGCGCTGGTGTGAACAGAGGCCAGAAATAGCATAGGGATACATTAGGATGCATTTTGGGTCTGGAGATTATCTGGATGTGGTGTGAATGGGCCCTAAGGGAAGAAAATAACCCGATCCTCAGACCTGGATTGCTTATAGACCGGTCTCTGGAGTGGTCGAGGGATTAGAACCCCTGTCAGGTTTTGATTGCTGTCTGTGTCCCCATCAAAGATTCCTCCTATGTATTTGGGGTTGTCATCAATACAGGAATAGATGAGAAATCTTCCAATGGGGACACTAGGTTTGGTGACCCTACTGACCACCAGAGATTTCCCTCAATTTGGAAGTATTTCCTCTCGCTTCCTGTAGTGACTACTGGACAGGAAGTGAAGGGAGTTCACAGATGGCAAAAAAAGCTGGCAGGGGTTATAACCCTCACTTTGTCTATCCAAAACTAAAAAAAAAGTCCTAACCTGTCTTGGAAGTTTTGAATGTGATTGGAGATGCAGAGAGAGTGGAGGTTCATGATCCAGGAGTTGCCTTTCTTGTGATTTCATTCAGATGTGTGCCTATGAAAGCAGAGGTAGCACATCGCTCAGATCTAGGGCTCACTTGGCTGCAGAGGGCCGTACATTGTCAAGAGGGGATGTATTTGTGTCCCTGGGAGCCACAGCCATGGCCAGCAATCTGTACACATCAATGATTGATTGCTACAGATTTAAGGTCCCCACACACCTTGTGATCGTACGATAATCGCGGGAAATCCCGCAATCGTACGATTATCGTACGGTGGGTGGAAGCCGTGCGACCTCTACTACTCTAAGGTCGCACGACTTTTAACTTACGAACATGTTCGAAAAACCCGCCGAGCATCGTACGATGTTCGGCGGGTGTGTAGCATGTTCGTACGATAAAAGCCGGACGGGCCGGTGTGCGCAAGCGCACACTGCCCGTTCGGCATTTCGGTCATCGGAAGCCCGCCCCTCGGGGGCGTGGCTTGCGATCATCGCAAGTATGATCTGCCTGTCCAAGATAGGCAGATCATACGTTTTTTAAATTACCTTACAACCATCGCAAGACAAAAGTCTTGCGATGGTTGTAAGGTGTGTGCCCAGCCTTATGCAAGCCCAAGGAGGGTTATGTGATCTCATCTGTCCATGTAACCGATCAGATGTGTACTTGTATCCATGTCTGTCAGCCTGTCATTGATTTTGTACAGACCCCTTGTTGCCGCTGTACACAAACACTTGTGGCTCCCAGGAGCTGAAATACTCCCCTTCCTAATGGTTTATGACGCTCTGCGGCGGTGCAGCTGTGTGAACGAGTCCTTAAGTACGCAGAGTGAGCTTCCTGACTTTTGCTCATTTGTCTTGTTGTAGCTCACGGAATGCGTTCATTTTTTTTGTCTAGAATTTCCATTGAATGAAATGTATTGGTTGTAATGTGGGCCATGTAGTAACAGTTTGCTGACATGCTGTGGTTCACAAGCAGAACTGATGACGGATGGTGATTCCACGATATTGTTTATCTTCCCATTTATTTGGAAGTGGATTTTCTTTCTGGCATCAGACATTTTGGTGGCAGTTGAACATATTTGATGAGTTAAAGTTTTGCCGTCTGATAGTTGCAGCATCTATACTTGGGTCAAGAGGAGAGTTCATGTCCAACCCACAATTGGCTCTGTTCACTGAGCTAGAACATGCTATTTATATAATGACTATTTTCAGCTTTCATTGTTAAAAATTATGGTTATTATTATAGCATAGTGAATTGTGCTCATTATTTATTATTTGCACACTGCTACGTGAGCATGCGGTCCATATCATCCTATTAGAAACAAGGACAATAAGTTGTAATTTCATAATAGAGCCGCTAGTAATGACTATTTTCCTAATCGATTAGTTGGCTAATTTGTAAATAAAATACAGAAATGTAGTGTTACAAACCATAAAGTTTTAAAAAATGTTTGCCATCGTACTGCACTGGAACGCACGGCATTGCGGTGCCACGCGTTCCAGTGCAGGCGATCATACTGCGGGCGGGAGGAGTGTTTTGGGGTGTCATTGAAATGAATGGCACCGCAAGGCACCTCCCACAGCAGAATTTTTCCTGCTGAAACTGAAAATGATTTTTTTCCATTTATTTTTTAAATAATTGTATGTATTATATTAGATATTTTAATTAGTTTCATGGATTTAAAATCCGAATTGGGAAATGTCCATGACAATATAATAAACTAGGCAAACTTTTTTATTAAAAACACTCCGAAATTGGACCAAAAAAAAATACAATTGTATATAAAATAATCACAATCATCATTTTGGTGCATTGGTGCAACCGACTTGTTTTTGAACTACTTATTTTTGTTTTTTTGTTACTTCTTTGCTATCACATAAGGGGGCTCACAAGCCCCCTATGTGATAGCACATTGGAGAACAGGTTCTCTTTAAGGTGATATTAGGGGACCCCTAGAGTCACATTTCCACTTCAAAGGGGCTATTCATGCACACATGGCTTGGATAGCTTCAGCCAGGCAATGAAAACATGGCAGGCAGTGGGTGTGTGCAATAGCCAGCCTGCTATTGGCTGTTTCAAACTGCAATAGCAGGCTGGCTTTTGCACCCCCAAATATAGTGTACAGTTCCCCCGCTCCGTCACTTCCTCCTGTCACGCTCCGCCACCTTCCCTGGCCAGAGGACAGCCAGCTGTGTGTACTCTAAGCCCCCTTCCCCCGCTCACCTGCCGGTATGAGTCTGGTCACTGTGTAAAGCTGGCTATACACTTTACAACCATCACACAACTTGAGTCGTGCATTGGTTGTAAAGTAATTAAAAGCTTGTACGATCTGCCCATCTTGGACAGGCAGATCGTACTTGCGATCATTGAAACCCCGCCCTGCTGAGGGGTGGGCTTCCGATGACCCCAATGACGCACGGGCACCGGCCCGCGCGGCATTTGTCTCCCGAGAACGCCACTAACCCGCCGACAATTGTACAATTCTCGGCGGGTTTTCGAGCCTGCTCGGGAGACGACAAAAGACGTGCGACCGTACAGTAGAAACGGTCCTGCGCCTTCCATACACCTCTCTGAGAGCGGCGCTGGCGCCCTGACACCCAGGCACTGTCCCCCCCAATACAGACGGGAGAGGGCAGCGGGGATTGAAGGGGACACAGACCGCAGCAAGCTCCCAGCGGGGAGGAGGGTGGTTAAGCATTGTTGACGTGGCAGCCGGGAGAGTGGTCTGTGAGTAAACAATGCCATAGAAGCTGATGAGTGTTCTGCTTGCTCACTTAGCAATCCTGTTGCTGTTGAGTTGCCTCCAGGGACAGGATTGCCCTAACACTGGACGTTGCATAGCTACAAAAGGGGAAGCTGGTGTCGCCACCTTAGTAATGTAGTCTGATTCTGGTGTGTAAATCACATAAATGAGGGCCAACTGTGCCACAATGAATCCCTAACAGTGCTGAATATATGTAATATTACATTTGTCATCTATGGTAGTTTTAGTACCATTTCATTTTTTCAGCTATGCTGACCATACACAGATTCCTCAGTCCACGCTAATAAGCATCGATGGACCCCGCCACTATCAGAATACATGAACAATGACTGGAGCTGAATGGCTGCACTCGCCGCTCAGCCGAAAACTTTCAACCCAGCTGATTGGACAATTGTAGAGCCGGCAGGGCCACCCACAGTAAGAATTTTGTCCGATTACTGGGAATTGGAGGAAATTCTAACAATGTATGGCTAGCATTACAGCGGGATATAGATCAGACATCCTGTCCTTGAGGGCTTGCTCACACCATAATCTGCACAGCCTCGCTAAAACAGATAGAAATCACTGAGTATGTGTTTTTGGTGCGTTTAAAAAAAAACGCACCTTACTGGAAATGGTGTGAACAACTCCTTTTTTTTTTTTTCACCTTGGACCACTTTTAGGGCCCATTCAGACCAAGACCATGTGTTAGTCGCATGGTACCAAGCAACGTACCTACCATGCGTTGCAGTGTGGCAGGTGTGTTGTGTTGACCTTCATTTGAATGGCATCCCAAACGCACCTCCCGGCCACAATGCGCTCCGCGGTGCTGGAGTGCACGGTATCTCAATACCGTGGGTTGCCTTGCAGTTGAAAAAAGTAGCGCATGCAACACATGGCAACACAATTCACTTGCCTTGGTGCGAACAGGCCCTTACCCGAGCGGTCCTGGACCATGTGTGGCCCGAGGTCCTCTGGTTACACAACTCTTGGACTATTGGGGCTCATCTTGGTTTTCCTGCTGGATGTAAATTAGAGGTGTTGCTTGAAACTGCCTTGTGTCTTTGCAAAAATACAAAGATTGTTTTTATACGTGGAGAAGCAAGTTTGCAGTCTCAGTGATGTGCATGTGTTTGTTAAATAATATAATCGGGTTTTGCTTGCTTTCAAATGTTTTTTTGGGATATGTATGTAGAATACTTTGTATTTGACATCTGTTTGTCGTTGTGTTGTCCAGTGTCCTGATGGAAAGCACCTGGAGGGCCTGTCAAAGCAGCTGGACTGGGATGCACGAAAGATCCAGAGGTGGTTCAGACAAAGGCGGAATCAGGATAAGCCGAGCTTAGTAACAAAATTTTCGGAGAGCATGTGAGTGGATGCGTCTTGTCTATTATTGTAATAGAAGTGTTTGCTGATAAAACACAGGGTATTCACATGACTTTTCCATTATGAAAACAGGCCAGATTCAATAAAGACTTCATGTTCTTTAACCACTTATAGACCGGGGTGTTAAACCCCCTTCCTGGCCAAGCCATTTTTCCAGTATCAACGTTCTGGTACCTTGACATTTATTCTGTCATGCAACGCTTTACCGGGATTCATTTTATACCGTTTTTTTTTTTTTAGGGACACATAGAGCTTTCTTTTGCTGGTATTAAATCACCACCGTGGTTTTTATTTTTTTACTATATAATGAACAAAATACAGAAGATTAAAAAAAAAAAACCCCTCTTTGTTGGGGAGATTTTTTAGGGATTACCCCAAGGAATGTTGAAGGACCTGTGGTTTAATAGGCACATTGGATAATTAGGCAAGACCACCATATATGAACCAAAGTTACTGAGATAGATAGATAGATTTAGAATAGATAATTCTGATGTATCTGGACCCATGGGTTTCTTTATTTCACTGCACGGATCTCCCAGTAGGAACATTCACAAAATCTTTTTTACCATTTTTGGTAAGTGCGGCAAAGGCGAATATCTCAGTCTTCGAGATTATGGTCAGAACCATCTATTGGGTCGTGGTTTCAAATAAATGACCATTACAGGGAAATGGAGGAACCTACAGCTGACCTGAGAGATACTTATATGTGTTCTTGTGAGATATGGGCCAAGTGGCTCAAATTCAAAAATTCTGTTCAATATGTGGAGATTGTATTAGCATGTAAGATATGTGGAAAGTGTCGCTTTGGTTTAAAGTTCAGTGTTATGGAATCCCAAATACATGATTAATGGATGAGGTAGGAATGTTGATACAAAAGGTCTGGAGGTACTTTTATTTTTTGTTTTTTTGGCCTTTTGTTTAGTTTTTACCTTCTGTACACATAGTTATTTGAGTAAGGGAAATGAATAATGTATTCACTGTCCTACTGTAGGGAAGGGGAAAAGGGTGAGAACCTCCATCTCCCTCTCCCCTTATTTTTTATTTTTTGTCACACCACAATTGGTTAAGATGTATTGTTATATTGTAGCACATCTATGCAACTCTTCATTTTTTTTTTTCTCTTTTTGGAGCTCATACTCCCTTTTTTTTTTTTCCTCACTTTTTCAAAAATATGTATTTGAATAGGGAAATGAATAATCCTTTTGTAAAGCGCTGCACAAATTGTTGGCGCTATATAAATCCTGTATAATTATAATAAGTCAAGGTAAAGTGAAAGGGGAGGTACGCTCCCCCTCCTTTTTTTGTGGTTGCTGTTGATCTATTTTAGTTATGTTAACATTAATATTGTGTTGTATGTATTATTTTATGTGATGTAATCTATGTAATGAAGAGATATGTTAAGAAAAAGTTGATTTAAAAAAACCAAAAAAAAACCTCTTTTCCCTAAATTAGCCAATTTTTGGGTAAAATATAAAAGACGGGGTCACATGGGGTAAATAGACACCAAACAGGTCATACCTTTTTAAAATTGTGTGCGCCCGTGAAATCGCGATAAAAACAAAGACCTACCATACCCATAATTGGCCAAAGTCGATGCTTTAAAAGCTTTTACCGCTCCTCAATTTAGTGCCAATAGTGATTGATGGTCCTAGAATTATTGCTCGCGCTCCGACGTTTGCGCTGATAAGTAACGTGTGGCGCAATAGTTATCGCACGTAGGCGCACTCGACGTGTGTTTTTGTATTTGCATTTATATGGGGGTTACACAAAATTGCTGGCTCCTTGCATCCATTTGCCTGCCCCTGTTCTCATGCTGATAATCAGCTTTATTGTGAATGGTGTTATTAGATTTTTCTCTTCATATTTGTGGCTCTGAAGTTTTCTAAATCATATTTCTTCCCTTTCCTAGGTTATGGTATAACACATTTGCTTTTCCACACTAACCTCATCCTATGTTCTTTCTAGGTGGCGGTTTATATTTTATTTGTATATCTTTTCCTATGGATTATGGTTTCTCTGGTCGGTGAGTAGCCCTGTGATTTTTATCTTCAGGTCAAGCTGCACAAACTAAAGCCAGCCATACACAGTTTAGATTTTGAGAGAGATCACTCTACTTTCCAATCCATGCAGTGTGGATGGAGTAAAAGCCCTGCCCGGCTCCAGTAGCCCTGCCCGGCTCCAGTAGCCATCTTCTGCTGTGGAGTATCACTTATCCTTTTGCCATTTGCTGTGCAATAAATAATAAATACCCTCCACGGTAATGGGTGTATTGGATGGGCTGACCTGAGAACTCTCTACTTAATCTGACTATCTAATCCCCTATGGAAATGAAGATATGAGCGGGTGATCCAATTAACTAACACATTACTTTTGGGTGGACTGACCACTTAACATGGGAAACAAATAATTTTTAGACGCAGATAAAATGTTTGAAGTGGAGCAGAGCTCTCCTGAACCTTTGGAAAACTGATAAGTGAGTGATTTTTCCAGAGTATACAAAAATGAAGGTTCTAGTTTGACAATGAATAGAATTTGGCAGCTTTTACAAAGTTTGATTTAAAATAAGCCAAGCAATGTGTAATCCTTTCGTCTGGCAGAGTAACCAGCCCAATTGGATGAGATGCACAGTATTTTTCTTAGCATTATCTCTTGCTAAGTTCAAAGTGCAGATGCTTCCTGCCTGCTAATATAGCTGTGTTTTCATTCTAATATCATCTCTTAACATCATTAAATATTAACTCCGGTTCCACAAGTCATGAAATCGTGGCATGAAGAAATACTGGGATCAGCAAGGCTAATGTGTTTTTATAGAATGTCCATAAACCCTAGTTTGGGCCTATCCCAGATGATGATATTTTTTTTTTTTTTTAAGTATGTAATGTGGCAATTCAGTTAAAGAGAAACGTTACCCATATCTTTAAAATGACAACAAACACACCTTTAGAGATGTTTAGTAATGACAATCTACACACATACTTCTAGATAATTGTCGGCTTTTTATTCTTTGCCTACCTTATTGATCTCCTGACAGTTATGTCACTCCTGTGCCCTATAGTGACTTGGCGGTTGGCAGAAGCAACCACAGAGCTCAGCAGGGGACTAGGAAATCAACTATTCTACAAGGAACGGTTTCACAGATAGTTTGTTAAATTGGACTTTTACCCTCTTTCGCTAAAAATCACATCAGTGTGCAGCTCTGCATTCTGATATGAAATCCATCTTACATCCATTAGCTGAACAAACCTATTTTACTTACAATTATTTTCCACTTTCTGGTCCTCTTGGGCATTAGTGATGTCATGTGCCCAAGTGTTGCATCCTGGAAAGATTACAGCAGCAGATCATTGCTGGGAAATCTGATCTGTAATCTCATGAGACCCCGGGAAAGACATTTTCCTCCCCTGAGATGATGTGCATGGTCACATGTCCTAGTCACATGTTCCAGGAAATAAAGGAAGATATATGGCCACCGTAAGAAGAATGGGGAGGAAATTAGAAATAAGGTTCACAAAGTTTAAAAAGCCGGCAATTATCTACAAGTTTGTGTTTGTAGATTGTCATTACTAAACATTTCTAAAGGTGACTTTGTTGTCATTTCAAAGATATGGGTAACGTTCCTCTTTAGAGCAAAAGTCTCTAATATTTAAAATGTCCTGTTTTTCAAGTATACCTGTCATTGTGTCTTTCACACTTCACAGACTAGTAGGAGGACATTTCTCCGAGCTGACAATCGGAGTTAGGTAACCGTCAAGCATACAGTGGAAGTTACAAAACCCAGGCTTCAGGAAGTTCACCCTTGTTGACCTTGTGAGGCCTGACGGCAGGGGATTACAAATTCAGGCAAATGTGAGGGCATTTTCTAATTTTGCAGCGTGAAATATTTGCTGGCTTGTGTTGGTAGTTACCTGACTTCATTTGTTGCCTGGAATTGCTCTTCGACACACACAGATGAGACTATTCACCTTAAAGGAGAACTATGAGGTGAGTGCTTTTCACTCACCTCATAGTTCTAGCCGACCTGTGACAATGAGACTGTCACAGGTCGGCTCAGTAGATCGGGAGGTGAGCGAACACATACCTGGTTCGCTCACCTCTCGATCCTGTCACGGCTCTCTGCCATGACAGGGGGAGGGGCTGGATTCCCCTCTCCCCGCTCCGATCTGCCAGCGCTGACTGGCGACACGGTCGGGGGAGGGGGCGGGTACAGCTGGCTCTGCCTCTAGATAGGCAGAGCCAGCTGTCACTCACGCAGCTGGGCAGATCCCGTCATCTAAGTCGGGATCCGCTCCGGCTGCGGCGTCTCAGTATACCGCGAGCTGTAGCTCGCGGTATACTGAGCTTAGGGTAACGGGAGGACGCTAGTTTGTGTCCTCCCGTTACCCTAAGGAGAACCTATGGGGAAAAACACTGACCCCATAGTTCTCCTTTAAGCTGATAATCCACGTATATAGCTAGAAAAAAACTTAGTTATAGTTTCCTTTTTATGCTCTTGTAAAGTGTAATTAGCCAGTTTGAGCTTCACTTTGATCTTCTTTTTTTTCATACTTAGAGAACTATGGGTCAACCTTTTTTGGCCATAGTTTTCTTCAGGGAGACAGAAGGACTTATACTAATGTCCTAGAGTGGCTCAAAACTCCGTTACATGCTGAGAGCGCAGAGCCGCGCCACGGCTGGGAGAGATCCCGACAATATTTTCTAGATCCACCCTGCTAGCTGATTGACAGCTGGCTCTGCATGCCCCCTCCCCTGTCCGTTCCTCCAGTCAGGGAGGGGAGTGGGGGAAATCCCTGCGGGGATCGGTGACTGACGGTCACCGCTCTCTGCAGGGAGAGGATCGGTAAGTCAGCCATTGGCGATATGTGTTTGCCGACCTCCCTGCCAATAGAGCAGATGTGTGACCGCTTCAGTGTCACAGGTCGGATTGAATTATGGGGATGAGTGTTGTTCACTCGCCCCATAATTCTCCATTAATCTTATAGAAATATGTATACAGAAGATCTTTACTTGGCATAACTAGAGATAAAACATTACTGTACAAATAGGTGGAATGATTTCTCCTTTCTGGTCAGTAGTTCCTAACCCATTGCAGTAGTTTTTGTCCATTGTGCAGTAGTCGGTGCTTGTCCATACTGCATAAAAGACATTTATGTTCTCTTTGTGTGTGAGGGAGAGTTTTTTTAGCCGGTTTCAGGAAATTTGTTGCTTCCCTCAACCTTGCGAACCTTGTGGTAGCTTGGTGTGACAGAGGATGCACATTTCCCTGTATTGAGCCTTAATGTCGGGTCACCTCTATGCACAGTATACATTGAACACTAATGCTAGCCTTGGTTAGCCTTCTTCACAAGAGGAACCGGCCGTGAGATATCTGCACATTAGCTGTAGCTTTGGAAGGTGACGCTGTTTCCTGTTTAATACATCTGACCAACTGAAGCAACATCTGTTTGGTTAACATCTTTCTATCATCTTCTCTTTGAGAAGTGGGAATGATTTTCAGAAGTACTTGTAAGGTATCTCTATTCGGCCCACTCTTTATCCAAGTAAGATGGGATTAAACAATTTACATCTATGTAGAAGAGGCACCCTGATATGAGTAGTATATTCATGACCATGGATTGCTTCTACCAGACATTGTAGTTGGATCATGCTCTTCATTATGGGATAGTACTGTACAAATGGCCAAAATCTGAGATTTGCGTGTGGGAAACAATGTAATCATGTTGTTTCATATAAGGCCCCTTTCACACTGATGGTCTGATCGGGTCCGCCTGTCAGTTGTTCAGCGGACCTGAGCAGATGCCCAATGCTAGTCTGCCCAGGCCCAGAAAAACAAAGCGAACAGTGTTCTGTTTCGACAGACGTGATCGTGCCAGATGGGGGGTAATCTGATGTAAACGGACACGTATCTTGTTTATATCCGATTCCCCATAGACCAACATGGGGTCCCGTCATTTCAGTTATAGATGAAGGGAAAACACACTGGTCGGACACAGATGTCACAGCAGTGGCATCTGATCTCTACTGCTCCGATCAGGAGGGGATCCCTGCACAGATTCCTTCCAGATCAGCCTGTGAGAAAGGGGCCTTTAGACTAATTGCTTTAATGAAAGCTAATTGGAGTCAGTAACTTAGACACCTGGAGTCCAGTTAATTAAATGAGTTTGGAGGTGTAGTTTAGTGCTACTTTCCATACTTTACTGTCCATACACCTATAGATTATTTGCAGACTTTCTGTGGTCAGATGGAAAAAGTGCAACAGAATCCTCCATCTACGCTAAACTGTGTGGATGGAGGAATCTCCCACTGGGCCAAGCTGCAGTATCTTCCTAGTAGGCCCCGCTGGCTCTGAAAACACATGAACATTGCCTACATCCAGTCAGATTATTTAAGTATTTTGACAGCCAGCGGGGCGGACTAGGAAGACACTGAAGCTTGGCCCAGGTGGAGATTCCTCCATCCACACAGTTTAGCGTAGATGGAGGATTCTGTTGTACTTTTCCCATCTGAGCATAGAAAATCTGCAGATAATCTATAGGTGTATGGCCAGCTTTAGAGACAACCTCATGATTTGAGTGTCCTCTCTGATTTCTGTAATAAGCCCGAATAAAACAAATTGCTATCTTTACTGTTAAATGGGCTTTAGTGTTATTCAATATTGAAAAGGAACTTATTCCATGTAAATACCTAATATAATTGGTTGTATTATTCCCCTTGATCCTCCTGCACAATGCTGTATGTCACCAGCTTTGACCTATCAGTTTAGCAGTCAGTCCCTGGAAATGATCTTCCAGTGTTAGGCTGGGCACACACCTTACAACCATCGCAAGACTTTTGTCTTGCGATGGTTGTAAGGTACTTAAAAAAACGTACGATCTGCCTATCTTGGACAGGCAGATCGTACTTGCGATGATCGCAAACCACGCCCCCTGAGGGGCGGGCTTCCGATGACCGCAATGGCGAACGGCCCGTCCGGCTTTTATGTTACGAACATGCTACATCGTACGATGCTCGGCGGGTTTTCCAACATGTTCGTGAGTTTAAAGTCGTGCGACCTTACAGTAGTAGAGGTCGCACGGCTTCCACACACCTTACGATAATCGTACGATCGCAGGATTTCCCACGATTATCGTAAAGTGTGTGGGGACCCTAAGTCGCATATTTTTGCATATAGTCAAATTCAGATGCAGATTTTGATGTCAAGTTTACCTAGAAGTACACTTCAGCAAATTGTTATGAGTAACCCCTGACTGAAGACTGAGAGCAGTCTCATGCCCAGGGGGAACTTGCATGTATACAATGCTGGCTCCTCAGTACCACATTTGGTGGCTGGGTCGCGCCTTCACAGCCGGCTGGAGTCTGATGTATGCTGCTTTAGCTTCAATGACAATGTAAACAGAGTGTTGGAAAGCTGTGTCCTGTCGGGGTAGAGTAAGGGTCATGTTTACACATACATTTCTGAGTGTTATCAGTAGCCTGTCCATAAAACACAGCGCTTTAATAGTATTGATCCTCTGATAGCTGGGTGTGATTGAACCTACATATTAAATCACACCACTCTGATTTAGCCATGTGGGTGTGAACTTGGTAAATGTCTGGAAGAATTTGGGGTAAAAAGTACAGTACTGTACGTAGTTTAAAGATCAATGCACTTTAGTAAAAAAAAAAACCTTTAGTCAACCCCGAGTCTTGGTGAAAACCTGCAAGTGACACGAGAGGCTTCCTCCTTCTGTACATTTAGTAGAGAGCTTTTGATCTTCGGAAGATCACTACACATACCTGATAGTCATTCTCCTGACTTGTCTTGCCTAGTCTCAATGGTAATGTTTTGTTGCCAAGGAATAACAAGCCTATAAGTCTGAGTTCACAGTGATAGAATAGTTTGTATGGGGGATGCTGGATGTCAGTAGTATTATAACATTTTTATTAACGTGACACTAAACTCGGGCGTTAAATGAAAATACATTGAGGTACCCTAACTAGTAACAAAAATGTATCTTATTTGTGTATCACTCGGTAGATCCTCAAATCATCTCTGAATTGTGCAGACACTGTCCTTCCTTCTGGAGGGGGGCTACTTTTGATCCCCATGGTCCCTGTGTGTGTGTTGTAAAGTAGCCACCGCTCCAAGCTCGCTCCTGTGATGGACTACACTCTCATGTTTAGTTTACTAATTTGTATTGAGATTGTAGTCCATCACAGGAGTGAGCTTGGAGTGGTGACTATTTTACAACACACACAGGCACCATGGGGAACAGCTGAAGTTCCTATTAGAAACTCTTTGAAAAGCTTAATGAATCAGGCTGCAAGGATTCATCTGGAAGCTTTCCTTGCTGCTTTTTTTGAAGGATGCTGTTCAGTTGACTTGAATGGACCAATGTAGGTGAAAGCACTACAAATTCAGCATGTGTTATCCATTTATTATAATATTAATTATTAAATGAAGTATAAAGCAGTAGAGTACAGGAAGCCGTTTTGTTTGCCCAGCCAGTGCCCATGAGGATAGTCTATATTTTCATTAGGAACAAAAGTCATTAATGGAAGTTTTTCTTACAGAAGATTGTCTGTATCCTAATGATTGCTTGGGAATGATGACAATAAGATAATCCTTTTTTTTTTTTTCTTCCTCGTTGCAGGCCCCGTGGTTTTGGGATACACGACAGTGCTGGTACAATTACCCTTATCAGGTATATACCTCTCAGTATTTTCATGGGTGAGGACTGTTTTATAGTAGGGCTGGTAATGATTCAAATTTTCGTGTTCGATTAATCGAAATTTTTTTTAATCGATTAATCTCGATTAATTATAACGCACATACAGATCCAACTACATTGGCCTACACACATACAGCAGAGCAATGAAGTAATAAAATGAACTAGGATCACACTAATCCAGCACATTATTAATCTCACGTGCCCCACTCACTATGGCCGCCGCTTGAGTGGGGCAACTCAGAATAATAACGTTCTTGATTAGTGTGATCCACATCACCGGACTCCTCCCCCCTTCCCTTCGTTAGCCGACAGAGCCACTTGGGGAAGGGGGAAGGAGTCCGGTGACGTCGATGTCCGTGACGTCACCGGATCTCCGACGGGACTCCTGGAAGCCGGCGGAGAGGTGAGTATTTTCATTAGCGATCAAAAATGTTTTCATCGATCAAAAAGATTAACGATTAATCGAGAAATCGTTAATTTGCACAGCCCTATTTTATAGACCTGGGGCATCAGAGGTCCCAGTGACATTTTTGACAATGCAAGTGGAGGGGGTGGGGGAGTCGCCTAAAATGATCCAAAATGCAGAACTTCAGTATATTATTTTTTATTAACTCTTGGACTGCACTGCTAGGGTTAACTGCTCGTTTGTGTCTAGGTTTAAAAACCCAAAGTTATACTCGCCCAATGCGCTGAGTCGGCTGCTGCTTAGAGCGCTCCTTGCACTGTCACTCCCTCTCATCTGCAGCCGTCTAAGGTCCCATAAATCATCAACGTCTATGCACAGTCCATAGACGAGTGGATGCTGAAGGAGATTCCAATGCTGCAGGGAGGGGGAGACGGGCTGGAGGGAGCGCTGTGAGAGCTGGCTTGCAGTATGTGGGGTAGCCCCACTACAAGGGTTAATAAAAACAATCCTGGAGTTCTGCTTTAAAGGACATCTATGGGGTCAGGGATTTTCCCCATAGTTCTCCTAAGGGTAACAGGAGGACACAAACAAGCATCCTCCCTACAGCTCGCGGTATACTGAGACGCCACAGCCGGGACAGATCCCAACATTACTGTCGAGATCCACCCAGCTGCGGGATTGACAGCTGGCTCTGCCTATCTAGAGGCAGAGGCAGCTGTGCCCTCCCCCGTCCGTTCCGCCAGTCAGCGCTGGAGGATCAGAGCGGGGAGGGGGGGAATCCCTGCAGGGAGCAGTGAGTGATAGCCACAGCTCTCTGCGGGGATAGACCGAGAAGTGAGCGAGCGACGGTATGTGTTCCCTCACTTCCCGATCTATTGAGCCGACCTGTGACAGTTTCATTGTCACAGGTCGGCTAGAACTATGAGGTGAGTGAAAATCCCTCACCTCATAGTTCTCAAGTGTATCATACATATAACAAACTGACTGTACAATTTCTGTGTGTAGTCCTCCTTTTCTTTTTTAGTTCAGGTTTCCTGGTATTACTTTGTATTACTTCCTGCTATTGCTTTCTATAGAAAACTGTAATGGGATTTTTTTGTGTGTGCACTTTGTATTTGCTACAAACTCTGCCAATTATACAATATTTTACCACATTTTCCGTATTGTCAGGTAACCCACCATTGGATGTGATTATGGTGGGAGATTTGCTGGTACGTCTGTGTACAATTAGCATTTATCATATGTATTTATTTCTTTTTTGTTTCTTTTCAGTCGCTCACGTTGGGCTTATACTACTATTATATTCAGGAACTGGCCTTTTACTGGTCTTTAATGTTCTCCCAGTTTACAGATATCAAACGCAAGGTAAGGTTTTCTTCAACAGTTATGGTCGTTGTGTCCTCTCATGTTTAAACTCCATTAACTTGCCTGTTAAAAGATATTCTGTGTCTGGAAGAACTTGGGTCTGATTGCTAAGCAGGCGTCCCGGTACCGGGCATAGAATTGTTTTGCATTCTCATTAGTGTACTCTCTAAAGGGAGATGTGTAGAATGCATTTTCATTAGTGACAACAGTAGCTCAACACAAAGCCAACCATACTTGCTGGGTTGGGGAAGATTAGTGGAATCTGAGATGGACGTAGAGGCTTGAACCCTGCTTCACTTCTCCCAAAACAGAGATATTTCCTCCCGCCCTTCCCCCAACTTTTCCCTTGAGATTGGTAACACAACTATCCCCTCCTATGCCAAGGTCCTAGGTGTCATCCTGGACTCAGACTTCACCTTTCTTCCCCATATCCAATCACCATCCAAATCCTGCCGCCTTCACCTTGGTAACATCTCCAAAATACGCCCCTTCCTCACCAATGACACCACAAAATTACTCATCCACCCCTTTGTTATCTCTCGTCTGGACTATTGCAACTCCCTCCTCATTGGCCTACCTCTACACAGGCCTCCTCTTGTCAATCCCTGCACAAGTTTCCAATAGCCCAAAGGATAAAATTCAAAATATTAACAAACCCTTAACCACTTACAAAGCCATCCACAACTCTGCCCCCGGCTAAATCTCAAACGTTGTCTCAAAGTATCACCCTAACCGTCCCCTCCGCTCTTCCAAAGACCTCCTGCTTTCCAGCTCCCTCGTCAACTCCTCCCATGCTCACCTCCAGGACTTCTCTAGAGTCTCTCCCTTCCTCTGGAACTCTTTACCCCAACCTGTCCATCTATCTCCCACTCTGCCTTTAGGCGGTCCCTAAAGACTCATCTCTTCAGGAAAGCCTATCCCCCCTCAACCTAACCACTCAACCATCACATTCTCAAAAAGTCCATCCCCACACGGCTACCTCCTCATGTACCACTTTTCCCTCCCGTTTAGATTGTAAGCCCTCAGGGGCGGGACCCTCCTTACCATCTTGTCTTGAATTGTATTGTGACTGTAATGTCTTCCTTATATTGCAAAGCACTGCACAGACTGTTGGTGCTATATAAATCCTATATAATAATAATAATAATAAAAGAGATTTAAACCTTCAGACTATAGTAGTGTCAGGAGTTAAAAAAAAAAAAAAACCACGGCCAAATATACAGTAGATAAATAAAAGCACTTATTGTCTTTTTCAACATAAGTTCCTGATTTTTCTCTAATTGCTATTGCAATAACATGCGCGTGAATTGTTAATGCAGCAGAGGGAGTGGCTGTACCCACCCTGACAATCCAGATAATGTGTGATGGGATTGTGTTATTTTTATGGATGGATTATATGAGCCATCACACATTATATGAAGTGCTTTGGAGTTCGGTTAGATTGGAAGCAGCACTTAACACATTTGAAGGCATTGTTTAGTATAAAGTAGTTGTACGGTGTGAACTAATGGTATGCGGATCTTCTGGTTTGTGCTGGAATAAGACAGTCAGACTTGTCCTCAGCCTGAATTTACTGTATTCTTCAGAGCTAATTGGAGCCAGTGGGACACAAACCCCTTTTTGTCTTCGCGGTCTCATGTCTTAAAATTGTATTTGAACAGTATCTCATAAAAGCTTCTATGCATTCCTTCCACACTGGAACCAAGGTCATTTAAAGTTTGCCGGTTGTGCACCTTTAAACAATGTGGAATACATAGGAAAGGCTGCTTAATAGAGCTGCAGGCCAGTTATTGCCACAAGCAAAGTTTGTGATCTAACCACTTATAAAACTTGCTCATCATTTCCAAGAAAGATTGTGTAACAATGACATGTGGCTTTCCAGTTTCCTTAACCAGTAATAGTGTTCTACTTCCTTAGAAATGGGAAGCTTGCTGTTGAGTGTAGGTAAGATGTGTTTGCATTTGTAAATGTAGTTTCTCTAAAAATAGGCCACTGTATAGAAACTTATAATATAGAAAAACTATAATAACAAATCTAAAAATGTCTTTTCTCTTCTGTTCATTGAAGGACACAGTGAAGATCCCTTAGTGATGGGTTATTATTATACAGGATTTATATAGCGCCAACAGTTTGCGCAGCACTTTACAATATAGGGAAGACATTACAATCACAATACAATTCAAGACAAGATGGTAAGGAGGGCCCTGCCCCTGAGGGCTTACAATCTAAAAGGGAGGGATTATACTGCCACCTGCAGGATTAGGATGCTAGGTACATCAAACAACGCTCATCCCTGCTGGTGGCCGAATCCCACCATCTGCTAGAGAGAGCTCAGTTTTTTTGCTTAGTGTCGAGGAGTATGGACCATTTCCCTTAAGGTGAAACTCCCATGTTCTCTGTGTGTTCTTTTCCTTTTTCAGTGCACATTCTTTCCATGTTTCTCCTCCTGCTTGTTGGTGGCGTGTGTATTATTCCACCTTCTGCAGGGAGTGGATCACCAACTGGCCCCTAGTGCTTTCTATCTCTGTGGGATTTGAACTAGTGTTCTCTGCTTGTGAATATTCGAGGAATGCTTGTTACCCTTATCGCAGAGAGTGGTCCTTTTGCTGGCCGTTACCTCGGCTTGGTGAGTTTCGGCGTTGTTGTATGGGTCAACACCATTAGGGTCAGCGCCATACAGCTCATTCCGCAAGAGTGGTAGTACGTCCTGGGTTTTTTGTTTCCAGGCATCTTTTTCTCTGGTCTGCATGGTGGTCACCTGGTTGTCCATGCGTGCCACTTTTTGTTTTTTCCTACAATTGCTTCGTTTCCATCTTTGAAAGCAGGTTTTGGCCACACAGCCTTACTGTGAAACCGTGTTTGGGGTCATTTGGGTTGTTCTTGGTTTTCCCACCCCTCGTTTGTCACTGCTTAGGGACATCCCATCAGTAAGAGATCTTCACTGTGTCCTTCAATGAACGGAAGTGGAGATGGGATTTTTTTTGTACTCACTGTAAAATCCTTTTCTCTGCATTCATTGAAGGACACAGCACCCTCCCTTATTTTGGTGTTCCGGTCTGTGTTGTTTTTTTTTACTGCTTCGTGAATAAGTGAGCTTGCTCTAGTAGTTGGGGAGGGGTGAGTTTGGCCGCCAGCAAGGGCTGCCCCCGGGATGAGCTTTGTTTGTTGTACCTAGCGTCCTACTGCTGCAGAGGTGGCAGTATAACCCATCAGTAAGAGATCTTCACTGTGTCCTTCAATGAACACAGAGAAAAGGATTTTACAGTGAGTACAAATAATCCCATTTTTTTGGTTTGATTCAGCTAGAGCAGGGAAGGAATAGAGCCTCTTCCTGGTATTTGTGTCCTATTTCTGAGATTTACTCTTTACTCTTTACTCCCTATCAGGACAGCAAGTGAAAATAAAAAATTCCCCCCATACACACACACACACACACACACACACACACACACACACACACACAAAAACACAGCTAATGCAAATTTAAGAAGAAACAAAGTCCTTACCGTTGTAATGACATCACTTATTTTAATGCCAGTGATGCAATCTCTGGGCCTTTGTGCCTCTCTCTGCAATACAGGCAGATCATCGCGCTTGTGGGAGGGGCCGGCAGGTTTCTGTACATAGCTTCTTGAAAACATTACAGCACCCTGCCTTAGTAATTCTCTCAAGATCCCTTAGCCCTGATGCAAACAGTAGGCTGGTTTTTGGGAGGAGTTGTGTATATATCAGAATGTCGCGATGGGTGGATGCCAGTCTGGAGGAGTGGGCATTCCTAGACAGGCTTCATTTGCAGGCATGCATGTCCTGGGCTATTCCTACATGTGATGCTGAGCCTCCATGATTGAAAGAACTGTAATCCAATGAATGGAATAGGGGAGGGGACAAGGGTCAGTTGGGAAATGTGGCAGGCTTTAGCTGACTTGCTGCAACTTCTAATGCGCCTTGTGCAGTGAGTAAGACATTTAGATAGAGGAGAGGAGTCTGTACAACGATGCAAGAGTTTAGCTTCAATAGAATGGGAAAGAATTGGAACTCCTTTCAATGTTTACCGGTCTATCTGCGCTTTCCCACCACAGTGACAACAACAGCCACCTCCCATTGCTCATGCTGGTGTCACAGGGCCAGGAACTGAGGCAACATTTTCCCAATTGGGTCACAAAAAGGATAAAATTACATGATATAAATTTTTAACTCTTACCCGCTCTATCCAGAAGATTGGCTGGAGTTAGGCCTTAAGGAGCAATTCCAATTTTTCAACGAATATACATGTGGAGTGACTTGCATCTTTTAATATTGGCCCAAAGTTCCTTGCAAAAGGACCAAGGGGTCCCAGGGGGGGGTGGCGGGGCTCCTGAGTATACTGTATTCCAATACAGCAATACCGATAGTACACAAGGTTTCCCTTCTATTCTTATGTCCATAGTCTGCTTTTAGCAGGTTGCATAAACCCACTGAATGCTGATCTGAGTTTTTAAGGGTTATTTTATAGGATTGCCCTTTCTTATATCCTGCACCCTTGAATAAGGTCTGTCTGAATCGCTGAATTCTTTTAGTAAGTAATATGCCATTAATATTTTTCTTTTCTTACAGGATTTCCTAATTATGTTCATTCATCATCTGGCCACAGTTGGCCTCATCTCATTTTCCTATGTCAATAATATGGTGCGAGTGGGAACTCTGGTCATGTGTCTGCATGACGCTTCTGATTTCTTGCTGGAGGTGAGGTCATGTTTACTTGTCAATGTTTAGTTATTTAAAGACATTTTCTGTCATTTATTTACAGTGGGATATAGTTATCTACAATTTCATTCCTTCAAGACCATTACTATGTGGCCTGGTACCCCACAGCCTCTGCCTCCATTAACTTCAGTGGAAATCTCTCTGCAGTGTGATATGCTGAAGTTTTTGCTCTGGGGCTGTGTGGCACAATGCATGCTGCACAGTGAATATCTCAGAGGAGTGGGTTTGTAGGTCAGTATTGTGCATGTGTGAGGAGAGTGGGTAGAAAAGGACTAGTGCACTTCCAACCAAAAGGAAGGACCTTGCAAGTATTGAGCCACAACCAGTTCCTGTATAACAGCCCATATTATGCATATCGGGGGTAGTGAATTAAAATATAAGGAGGTCCAGTAAGTAAACTTAATCAAGCTGAAGTCCGAAACGTGGTCCGGACAGAAAGGTAATTCAGTCTGTGTCCATACCGCGGTCTGCCATTTAGGCTGCATTCACACCAGCAGCTGATGGTGTGTGTTCCCAGGGACAGTGCTGATGCGCATCGCACTATTTATTTATTTTTTTAAATTATCTTTTTTGTTAGAACTTGCACGTCCCTGTTTACATACATGTGCATGCCTTACGCACTTGTGTTCATTCTAATCAGATGGCGGGGGCTGCAGGGTTGATTTTATTTGTTTAAAATTTGTTTTATTTTTTTACTTATCGCCTTTTATTATTTTTTACTTTTTTTTTTTTTTAATCACCCTTTTGTATAAAAAATGTTTAAATTGTAATTATTTTTTTAGACACTTTTTTTTCTTCTTTTTTTTTTTTTCCACTTAACTTTTGCTCTCACAACGGGGCTAACATTGAAGACATCAGGAGTCTCCTGATGTCTCCCCTGTACCTCCACCACAGATGATGAAGCGCATGAATGTGCCTCACCTCCTGTTTACCCTCAGAGGCTGGTGAATGCACTGTCAGCCATATAAAAAATGTTTAAATTGTAATTATTTTTTTAGACACTTTTTTTTCTTCTTTTTTTTTTTTTTCCACTTAACTTTTGCTATCACAAAGGGGCTAACATTGAAGACATCAGGAGTCTCCTGATGTCTCCCCTGTACCTCCACCACAGATGATGAAGCGCATGAATGTGCCTCACCTCCTGTTTACCCTCAGAGGCTGGTGAATGCACTGTCAGCCAGCCATAACCCAGCACCAGTAGGCGATCGTGGGGTGGAGAGAACTGCCATGTGGTCCTTGTCCGGACCGCCGTCTGCCATTTAGTGACCACTGATATAGAGCCTATTAGTCCCAGAGGCAGCACTGTTAGGCTTTACATCTACACATTATAGGGAAGCTCTAATGTATTGGTAAAAGACCTGCTTGCTGCATATTTGATTCAGTTTCCAGCAAAACATGCATTAGAGAGTTCAACTGAACATGAAAAGCACTCTAGGAATCTGCAACGCACCCGAAACTCCAAGATATGAACAAGGGCTTAGTGAAGGAGAAGAAGCAGTGGCAGATATTCTCCGTTTTCCATCAACTCTGTGTACCTACTTGTCAGTGCTAATGAAAAGCTACAAATATGTTCCACTACAACACTGCCCTCACCAACACTGCTGCCTCTGGGACTTGTAAGCTCTGCAGACCATGCTTTGCCTTGTCACACACACACACACGAGCATAAAATTAAAGCTGGAGTCCAGATAGAAAAAATAATTCAGTTATGTGCTGCTGCAAATATAATTAAATGTGTTTTTATATACAGTTCGCATAAGTACCTGAATCTGTCTTGATAACAGCTTGCTGTCATCTTCGCACAGCACATAGACTGGGAGAGGCAGGGGCAGCACTGGGAGCCAAACAAGCTCTGTGGCATGTACATGTGCTGACAGGAGTAGAGATTAGAGTGAGCATAAATAATGACTTACCAGCGTGCTGCTTCTCTTATTGTTCAGTCAGTAGGCTGCAGGTATTGAGGTGACACCGCTTTGTTGACTTCCTGGCTGTGTTGTGTGGCAGAGGTGAATCAGTCACAGAAGTGGCTGGCCAGTTAAGTACATTCACATACGTGTATTCAGCTGTTTGCCCAGACAATTTTCTTACATGTGTGTTGATGATATCAAAGGATCACCTTTTCAAGCCACGCCACCATTTTTATTTGTTTCTTTAATTGAAGGGTAATTTTCACTTTCTCACAAAATGTAAAAATAAATGAACTTACCCACAGCCCCCCGCTGTCTGAAGTCTCTGCCAGCCAGGTTAGTGGTCCATAAACTGTACACCGGACTTCCCAGCCCCGCACTATAGAAAGCTCATAATACTCACAAATGGTGAGAACCTCTCATTGGTCAGACTGGCTATATGGTTGTGCTGACCAATTGAGAAGCGCTTCTTACGCCTGGGACCTGGTTCCCAGCTTAGAAGCACTTTTCATTGGTCAGTGTGGTTATGTGACCTTGCTGACTAATGAGCGCTCGCCATTTGCAAACATGAGCATTCCATACTATGGGGCTGGGATGTCTGGTGTATGAACCACTACATTGGCTGGCGGGGACTTCAGATATGTGAGTGCACAGGGTGGGCCGAGGGAGGTGGTAGGGTGTTGTGGGCAAGTTAATTTTTTCACAATTTGAAAGAAAGTGAACTTACTTTAAAAAATTTTTTTTTTTTACTGGAGGTTTAAGGGCCTATTCACACCAGGGCCATGTGTTAATTGGTGCGGCCTTGGTGTATTAGGTACCACGCAAGGCACCTACTGTGTGTTAACAGTGCAGGAGGTGCTTTGCATTGCCATTTATTTAAATGGCAACTCAAATGCACATCCCGCCCGCAAGGCGATCAACTACGCCTTAACGCATGACACAATGGTTCCATTCACCTCCATGGCCACGGTTGTATAAAATCAAGCACCTAGGCTTGCAGACGGCTTCTACAAACATTTGTGAAAGAACGGGTCGCTGTCAGGAGCTCAGTGATAGGTTGCCACCTGTGCAATAAGTCCATCCGTTAAATTTCCTTGCTACTAAATATTCCACGGTCACCTGTTAGTGGTATGACAACAAGTGCGCGGAAGTCACCAACTGTCATAGTCATTAGCTACAGACCCCCAAGCTTCATGGAATGGGTTTCCATGGCCGAGCAGCTGCATCCAAGCCTTACATCACCAAGTGCAATGCATAGCGTCGGATGCATTGGTGTAAAGCGCGCCACCACTGGACTCTAGAGAAGTGGAGACGTGTTCTCTGGAGTGATGAATCACGCTTCTCTGTCTGGCAATCCGATGGACCTGTCTGGGTTTGGCGGTTGTCAGGAGAACGCTACTTGCCTGACTGCATTGTGCCAAATGTAAAGTTTGGTGGAGGGGGGATTATGGTGTGGGGTTGTTTTTCAGGGGCCGGGCTTGGCCCCTTAGTTCCAGTGAAGGGAACTCTTAAGGCATCAGCATACCAAGACATTTTGGACAATTTCAGGCTCCCAACTTTGTGGGAACAGTTTGGGGATGGCCCCTTCCTGTTCCAACATGACTGCACACCAGTGCACAAAGCAAGGTCCATAAAGACATGGATGAGCGAGTTTTGGGTGGAGGAATTTGACTGGCCTGCACAGAGTCCTGACCTCAACCCGATAGAACACCTTTGGGATAAATTGGAGCGGAGACTGCTAGCCCGGCTTTCTCCTCCAACATCAGTACCTGACCTCACAAATGCGCTTCTGGAAGAATGGTCAAACATTTCCATAGACACACACTTCTAAACCTTGTGGATGCCTTCCCAGAAGAGTTCAAGCTGTTATAGCTGCAAAGGGCGGGCCAACTCAATATTGAACCCTACAGACTAAGACTGGGATATCATTAAAGTTCATGTGCGTGTAAAGGCATGCGTTCACTTGTAGAACAGTTACCTGTACGCTGTCCGTGTAGATAAGATAGGTCACACACACACACACACACTTTAATGACCATGTGTGATCCTGCCATGGCTCACACACACACTTTAATGACCATGTGTGATCCTGCCACGGCTATGAACTTATCATATGACCATGTGTGATCCTGCCATGGCTCACACACACACTTTAATGACCATGTGTGATCCTGCCATGGCTCACACACACACACACACACACTTTAATGACCATGTGTGATCCTGCCATGGCTCACACACACACACACACTTTAATGACCATGTGTGATCCTGCCATGGCTCAGCAGATGTGCTCTCTTAATACCTTAGGAAAATGAGGACGGATGAACTTATTAAATCAATGGCAGATCAGCCAATCTAAATTAGCAGTTAATTGTTTTTTTGTAAGTTAATTTCTATATGAAGCTCCCTGTATGCATGAACTCTAGTCAACCTGACAGAGTCTTCACACTGGCAGTCATTATGAATGCTTCATTGCAGATTTTGCATAGGGTTGTAAACATTAAAAGGAGGAGCAATAAAACCCTATTTGTATTCTTGAGTTTCTGAGTAGTTTGTTCATATTTGGATGTGTTTTTCATGCGACGAGGCCCCATGGCAGTATACTTAGTACAGTAGACTGATTGAAGAGTGCCACAGTGACATCACTACCACATGCACGGTTTTGATTTGGTTATTATATCACCCTGTTATATCCCTCTATGCATTCACTAACTATATGGTGCTCTTTTCTTCTCTCCTAAAGACAGCAAAAATGTTAAATTATGCAAAGTACCAGAGGTTGTGTGACACTTTCTTTATGATGTTTGGGCTGATGTTTGTCACTACGCGACTTGTCATTTATCCAATATGGTAAGAGCAGCATACATTCTTTATTTGTGTTTAGTGTAATTATATATACAATGTTAATTGTAGAGATTGCCTAAGTTTGTAGTTTAGTTCTCCTGTATAATTATCTAAAGTGACACTAAACTCAGGAGTTAAACCTTATAAATACATTCCAGTACCTTTTAACTATTAACAAAAATGTATCTTATTTGTGTATCACTCGGCTGTAGACCTGCAAATCATCTCTGAATTAGTGCTGACACTGTTCTTCCTTCTGGAGGGTGCCTACTTGTGTTACCAATGGTCCCTGTGTGTGTTGTAAAGTAGTCACCGCTCCAAGCTCGCTCCTGTGATGGACTACAATCTCATGTTTAGTTTACTACTTTGTATTGAAGATATAGTTGATCACGGGAGCGAGCTTGGAGAGGTGGCTACTTTACAACACATGCATAGACCATGGGGAAGGACAGTGTCCGCACCAATTCAGATATGATTTGAGGATCTACAGCCGGGTGATACACAATTTAGTGTCACTTTAATTTGCCTAAACCCAAGGTGCTTATCCGCAATGTCCGTTTTTAATCTGCTTATATTTTGCCTTCTCTGGTTCCTCCCTTCCCCCCTTCATCAACATGCACATTAAATTTGTAATCAAAACATTTCCCTTTTCATTACCTTATTACTCTAGTTTTATTTATTGATTAGAGAGAGATCTCTATATATAGATATAGATATATCTCTCTATACACACTTTCCATATCACTGAAACAGTTTAAACATTGAATTTTGTTGCTTGCAGGATCTTAAATACAACATTGTTTGAAAGCTGGGAGCTGATTGGTCCATACCCATCATGGTGGCTGTTTAATGGTCTTCTTTTAATTCTTCAAGTTCTCCATGTCGTCTGGTCTTGCCTCATTATTCGCATAGCATACAGATCATTGACAAAAGGAAAGGTAGGTCTTCCACCAAATCGTATTGTCCTTTGTATTCTGGGAAGATGGGGCATATTTAAAAGGATGGGTTTTTTCTCCCTCCTTTTGGCTTCATTCATATGTTGTTGGGAGTTCTTATCTCCTCGTGTTTCCAGACCCAATGATACTACTGCTTATTTACCTATGCTCTGCCGTTTCAAGGTGACCATGTTGGGTGGGGGGGGGAGTCTTTTGAAGTCTTTGCACTCCCTGCCTCACTCTTTCTCTCCCTCCTTTCTCTCTGTGTCAGGTTGGAACTGGGAAGTGTCACCCTTTGCCTGTAAGTTTTCTCTGTGCTGCTTCCGACTTCTTTATACCACTTTTTGCTGCCTGCTGTCCCTGTACCCTCCTGCATGTTCATTTCTGTCGTCCGCTACCAGAACCCAGATCCTTTGAAACTTAACCGCATGTCCAAATATATTTAGGATATAAATATATATCCTAAATACATCTCATGATGCATCTGGGCCTTGGACATCATCTCATTTGCGCTAACACTCTTAAACGGACATCACCCAGTACATTCTAGAATGCTGTGTTTTAGCACAGAACCTCCAGAAAATAAAGTGTACCTGTCCGTTACCTGTAATGGATGACAGCTTAATCGGGCAGATTCTTTACTGTCAGAGAATAAGCTACTGACATTGAGACAGGGATTGAAGTGTCTTTACACTGATTCTATGTACAGAGTTGCTGGATGAATTCACATGGTTTAAGAACCTGTTTTTTGCTGGAAATACTAACTGCCTGTCCCTATCATCGGTAGTTTGCATGGCTGAGAAATATGCATCAGGGTGACTCGGAGTGAAGTCATAAGTCCTGATCGTCATACTTCTTGGTCAATATGTCAGAAAGTACTGAACACAATGAATCAACTTGGCAGAGGAGGCATTTTTACAAGGAAAGGCCAGCAGTGGGGGCCTTTATATTCCTCAGTACATGTTTCCTTTAAAGTGTATATAAACCCTGAATCTATGGTTCCAGTAAGTTTGGTATTATGCCTCACTGTATACAGTTTTCTTACAGCAATTGGTTTTATCGTGAAGTCATGACTGTAACATTACTTCCTGTTGTAGGCTGACAACGTAAGCTGCTGTGTGGCAATTAGCAGCAGTGTTGTCAACCTGTCTGCTGCAGGCTGATAACACTAAGGCTCCATTCACACAGGAGTGGTTGACCGCACGTATTCAGGCGTACGAAAATGCATGGAGCCGCTCTAAACATAAAAATCTATGCACTTTAATGTGCACTGTTCAGACTTTTGTGGCAGCCGTGCCGCAAGAAACGGTCTGGCCTGCAAAATAGTCCAAGCGCGATTTTTTGGCGGATTCCACACGTTCGCGGCTACAGTAATAGCCTCAAACCAGCGGAATCCGTGCAGATAAAAGCTTTTTGCATGCCGCGCGGTCTTCCAAATGGCAAACGCTATACAGTGTGGAAAATAATGATTTGATCCCCTGCAGATTTTGTACGTTTGCCCACATACAAAGAAATGAAAGCTCTATCATTTTTATCATCATAGGTATATTTTAAATGATAGAGACAGAATATCACCCAAAAATCCAGAAAAACACATGATACAGATGTTATAAATTGAGTTGCAGTTCAGTGAGTGAAATAAGTATTTGATGCCCAAGCAAAACATGACTTGGTACTTGGTGGAGAAACTCTTGTTGGCAAGCACAGAGGTAAGATGTTTCTTGTAGTTGGTTACCAGGTTTGCACACATCTCAGGAGGGATTTTGGTCTAGTCGTCTTTACAGATCTTCTCTAAATCCTTCAGGTTTCTTAGCTGTTGCTTGGCAACTCGAAGTTTCAGCTCCCTCCATACATTTTCTATAGGATTAAGGTCTGGAGACTGGCTAGGTCACTCCATGACCCTAATGTGCTTCTGCCTTGGCGGTATGTTTTGGGTCACTGTCATGCTGAAAGACCCATCCACAACCCATCTTCAGTGTTCTGGCTGAGGGAAGGAAGTTCTCATCCGAGATTTTACAATACATGGCCCCGTCCATTGGCCCCTGAATACGCAAAGTCAGCATGTACCTTTAGCAGAGAAACAGCCCCAAAGCATAATGTTTCCACCTCCGTGCTTGACTGTAGGGATGGTGTTCTTAGGGTCATAGTCAGCATTGTTCTTCCTCCAAACAAGGCGTTTCGAGTTAATGCCAAAAGAGCTCTATTTTGGTCTCATCTGACCTCAGCACTTTCTCCACATCCTTCTCTCAATCATTTAGATGTTCATTGGCAAACTTCAGACGGGCCTGTACATGTGCCTCCTTGAGGAGGGGGACCTTGCGGCCGCTGCAGGATCTCAATCTATGGCGGCGTATTGTGTTACCAATGGTTTGTTTGGTGACTGTGGTCCCAACTGCCTTGAGATCATTCACAAGCTCCTCCCATGTAGTTCTGGGCTGATCTCTCACTTTTCTCATGATCAGCCTTACCCCTTGAGGCGAAATCTTGCATGTCGCTCCAGACCGAGGGCGATTGATGGTTATTTTGTATTCCTTCTATTTGCGAATAATCGGTTGTTTCCTTCTCACCAAGCTTCTTGCTGACAGTCTTGTAGCCCATTCCAGCCTTGTGCAAGTCTACAATCCTGTCCCTAATGTCCTTTGACAGCTCTTTGGTCTTGCCATGGTGGTGAGGTTTCAATGGAAGAAAGAGATTCTGTGGACAGGTGTCTTTTTATATAGATAATGAGTTGTCATTAGGAGCACCTTCTTAAGGTGCCCATACACCTTACAACCATCGCACGACTTTCATTGTACAATGGTTGTAAGGTAATTAAAATCTCGTACCATCTGCCCATCTTGGACAGGCAGATCGTACTTGCGATCATCGCAAGCCCACCCCGCTGAGCGGAGGGCTTCTGATGACTACAACGCTGAGCGGGCAGTGTGCGCTTGCGCACACCGGCCTGTTCTGCATGTCTTCCGAGAACGCCACTAACCCACCGAAAATCGTACGATTCTTTTTCAGGCGTGCTCGGGAGACAAAAGACGTGCGACCGTACACTAGAAACGGTCGCACGCCTTCCATACACCTGCCGATTATCATACGATCGCGGGATCACCTGCGATTATCGTACGATAATCGGCAGGTGTATGGGCACCTTTAGAGTGGCAGGGCTAATCTGTGTACCACGTAGCCAGTCTGTGGGAGGAGCCAGAATTATTGTTGGTTGGTAGGGGATCAAATACTTTTTTTTTTTTGCCCCCGTATCTCTAAAAGTTGAACTCGATGGACTTGTGTCTTTTTTCAACCTGACTAACTATGTAACTTATTTTATTCACTGAACTGCAACTCAATTTATAACATTTGTATCCTGTGTTATTTCTGGATTTTTGGTTGATAGTCCGTCTCTATCATTTAAAATACACCTATGATGATAAAAATGATAGACCTTTCATTTCTTTGTATGTGGGCAAACATACAAAATCTGCAGGGGATAAAATCATTATTTTCCACACTGTATGTGAATTGAGCCTCAGTCACTGCTTTGCAATTGGCAACAGCATTGTCAGCCTGCTGCGTGTGCACTTCTAATAGGCAGCCCAATGGCCAACTTGAAGAGCGCACACAGCAGACAGACAATGCTGTTGCCAATTGCAAAGCAGGGATTTAGTGTTGTCGGCCTGCAACAGGAAGGGATGTTACTGGCAAGGCCTTCGGGTAAGAATATTTGCAACAGATTCAAAAAAGATTTTTTGCTTAAAGTGTAACTATGGGCAAAAAAAAAAGACATATGATACAGTATGACATGATAGTCGGTCTCTAGGAAAAATGCAGCAGTTTGCCTTGTAGCATAGTTGTGTTACCTGTTGATCCAACCCATAAGTCTGTTTTTTTCTTATTTCTTTCAACAGACCAAGCTGTGCAGGAAAAGTAGAAGTTAGAGTAGTTGGAACAAACCATTCCGCACTGAGAGGGGTGCTTACAAAGGGCCAGGTTTTCTTTAAAACCTTTATCCCAAAGTGAAAAAAAAAACTGTTGCTGTAACTGTTTAAAAAGTGTTAGCTGGAGATCAGATTTAATTTGTTAGTCCCTTATGTAAAGTCCTTCAAAATCTACTAGTCCATCTCACCCTTCCCTCCCCAAAGGTTGACAATGCTGCTGTCCAGGGGTGGTCATGCTGCTTCTCCATAGATATAGTAGAAGAGTGAGCGTAGTTACCCTAAGACAGGAAATGTGTTATTGTCCTGACCACTGGGTGAAAGCTAATACCGCCGCCACCACATCTAAGGACTGGAAAGCTGCAGTATATATCATTTCTGTTCTTGGGTTTAGATACACTGTAAGAAAAGTGTATACAGTGAGACATTAGGCTAAACATACTGGAAAATAGATTTTGATCAAATCAAGTTTATTGATTTAGGGCAAAAATAAAACATAAAGCACGTGAATATGAGAATAACAGGCATACAGGCATTATGGTCCACAGGACCCAGCATAGTCCAGCAGTATCATGGGGATGGGCAAAGCCCATAACATAATCAGTGATAGCCTAAAAGGCATACAGAAAATAACAGGGAGACCTTAACAGCGCCATAAGCCTGGATAAACAGAGAAGGGGGGGGGACTAACCTGGAAACGTAGGACAAGACAAACAGGACGACGCAACAAAAACAGCAGGGGGAGGTGGGGAGGGGTCGTGTACACACGGAGCCAGACAGCAGTGCTCAGTGGTCAAACGAAATGAAGTCAAAGCCGGAGTATATGCAGGAAGCAGGGTAGCATCATCAGGAGGGACTCTACCTACGGGACTGAGGCCAGTAAGGCAGGGAACGCAGTGGAGGTCTGGAAGCAAATCCAGGGCAACCATAGGTTGTGGAAGGACGTCGCACGGTCAGCGTCTATGGCCATCATTTCTTCCATGCGCATAACGTCATTTAGACTAGTCAACCACGCCAATAGGGGAGGGGTTTGGGTGGACTTCCAATGTCCTGCTATAACCTGTCTGGCTGCAAATAGGAAGAACTGCAGCGTGGATTTCTTAGCCTTTGAAATCGGGGGAAAAATAGATTTTGAATGTACATACACTTGAAGGGTTTAGAATACACTTTAGAAACAAATCTTGCACAAGTTTTGATCCTTTCATGTAGCTTTTGGCATGGGGCTTTTTCAGTGCTGCAAACATCCCAGCATTCCCTGTAATCTGACCTTGTACATTGTCTAAGGCTGTTTGTATGGGCACCGATCCAAATTGTGGATGTCATCAGTCCATATTACTCCAGTATGTCATTTTGTTGTAGTTCTAGTGAGGCCTCATTCACA